CCAGGGCAGTGAGGATGGCCCAGGGCCCAGTGTGAACATGTCGGTGACCCTTCCATTGTGGTATCAGTTTAGCTGTGCAGCAACAACAGTCCGGAATACTGGCTAGTGAGAGGCATAGGCTGGGCTCCAGAGTCCTGAGGGAGGACTGGCTTTGCGACCAGGAGGCAATGTGTTGAAAGTGGCAGGCGATGAGGCAAGATCTAGGGAGAAAAGGAGAAGTAAGCTTGGAGGAGTAAGAGCCAATATTCCCACCACACTAGTCAGACAAAATAAAGACTTAAGTACTTGCAACATGCCAGGAGCTTGTACTTGGGACAGCTGACCCATTGGACAGTAGAGAGAAACTAACAGTGGTAGGGGAGACATGGAAACAATACTGCTCAACCTGAGTTGAGAAGACCGTACCCAGCAGTCTTCTGTTTCCTGATTCCCACTTGAGGAAGTCTGACTCCAGTGAGGAATCTATGTGCTCAAGTAGGCCAATCCTGTGGGGGCTGTGGATGAGTTTTATAGGGGTGCGTGGGGTTTTTGAAAGTGGATAAAAATTATCCTTGGAACCAAGACTCCATATATTCACTCAGCCTGGAGCATGACCCTGCCTTCCTGAGCTCAGAGTCTAGATGGGTCTCAGGATGCAGTGTTACCTCTCCAAGAGAATTGGAGGACCAGACTCTTGGGCACAATGCTGTAGTAACAAGGACCTGGAGGCAAGGGGAGGGTCCTTTTGGGGACGGTACGAAGACCCCCACAGTGACTCCAAGGAATACTGGGAGAAAGGGTCAGAAAGGGCGAGAGATTGCAGCAGAACAGCTGTGTGGCAAGCCAGAGTCAGGACAGCCACTAACCAGCATGCTGGGACACTCAGGAGTCCTGTCTTAAAGACCAAGGCAGCAGCAAGAGGCTCTGATTCTGGAGCATGTTGGGAATTTTGTCTCCCAAGGTCAGGGCTCCTGGCCATAAAATTGCCCCCTGTCCAAAACCCTGTAACATTGAGATGAGCAGACACAGGCATCAGACTACAAAATGGGAATCAGGAGACAAAGGGCTTTGGGTACAGTTGCATGAATAGGACACTGCACAGCTCCAGAAGACTCGTGGAGAGGCGCCCCAGGAGTTGCACAGGGTGACCAAGACCTTAGGCCACCAGAATCAAAAACTACTGAAAAGGGTGGGTTTAAGCCTTCTGAGTCAGGACTGGCATCTGAGTCCATGCGACACCCTCCTCCCCACCACATCTGTCGCTGGGTCTAGTCACCCCTTGTGCTCTGACAAGGCTGCTGAGACAAGGTTCGGGGCCTGGATCCCACCCTTACCCCAGGAGGTGACTCTTTTGTGAAGGCTCTCCAGGCTGTGCCTATGGCCAGAGTACTCACAGTGGGGGCTGTGCTGAGGGCTGGCACGGGGCGTGAGAGCCAGGGGTGAAGCAAGTTCCCGGGGTGCACACACTGTGTGGTAAGCTGCAAGAGCACAGGCTGGTGAGACTAGGCAGGGTGAGAGGGTGCAGGGTGTAAAAATGGATATGTGGTTGGCCTCACCTATGATGGTGACCGCTGTCCCTGCCAGCAGGGCAAAGAAGGTGAAGAACATGACTTGGTAGGAGTCCAGGAAGTGTGACAGGATGCTGGCTCCATCTGTACCAGGGCAAAGACAGACATGAGAACAGCCGGGCCATAGCTGGGTCCCACTAAGATCCTTTGCTACTTAGATGTGTGCGTGGTCCATGCCGCACTGCCTGGGATGAAGGGGGCAAGCCTGTCTTAGACATGAGGACGAGGTGTCCAGCAGAGGCAGCATCTTATTTTGTTCCTTGGGCCATTGCCCCAAAGTCACCTACCTCTGTGGAGTGGCCTGGGTCCCAGATCCCTGATACCTATCTGTCAGTGTTACAGTCTACTTGTCCCCAAGTACCCTCAGGTGGAGACCACCCTGACACCAGACTACAGGATCCTCCCCTGGATACTGGCCCCTTTATTCTATACTCTGTCCCAAAGGGTAGCGAGCTCTACCCTCTGCATGCCCTCAGGTGGCCAAAGTGCAGCGTCTAAACCTCAATGACTATGGGATAAGTCTTGTACTCATCTGGGTAAGAAGCGAGTAGTTCCTGGCATCAAGAGGATCCTGAGCTAAGTGCCACCCTCACGCTGGACTTCTTGGGGACAGTCGGGCAAGAGTCCCAGTGGTGAATAACATTATTTCTACATAGGTCAAAACATGTCTGGGAGTGAGATTCTAATCTGAGCCAATTAAGAAGTAATACCTGAAAGATAGCCTGTAGCAGTTGAGGACACTGGTTAATGGGTTGTCTGAGGGAAATGGCATCGTAAGCAGAGGAAACAGAAAATGCCAATGGCTCAGGTAGGGGGCCTTGTGTTCCAGAAACAGGCAGGAGGCTGCTAGTGTTATAACAGGCAGCACAGGGGGACGCGAGTCACAAATGAACAGGAGAGACCAAATGGATCTCAGGGACCGCTGGGGAGATGGTGTCATGGTAGATGTTGAGCAAGCACCTTGCTGAGGACTGGGGATATGGAGGTAATGTGTGGTGTCTGTGACAGCAGAAGACTGCCACTCTGAGAGACATTGTGTGTTTGACTCCTCCAACGTTTGCACTACAGGTGCCCGCCAACACCCAAGGCCTCTGGCCTGTTTTTCCCTGCCCAGGTCGGGGTCAGTTATGTCTCAGCCATGACTCACAGGGACCAGGCCCACGACGATCCATCACAAAGGCCACAGTGACTGGAATGGTGATGGCCTGGTTAGTGGCAGGGCTGGAGAAGGTCAGGGCGGTGGACAGAGGGCCCTGGCTGCCAGCCGTGGGATACGAGACACCAACAGTGTATGTGATGAAGCTGGGCAGTCCAAAAGACTTCTCTTTCACGAAGGCTAGCACGGCTGGGGACCCGGATTTCACCTGGGAAGAAGGTAGTGTTGAGGCTGGACCGCAGGTGGGACTGCAGGTGCCCAGCTCATCTCTGGACATGCCCTTCTAACCACACATGCTAGACTTCACTCCCAGGACCAGGTGGGCTCTGATACCTGGAAGCATGATCCACATTTGGGGTTTGGTAAGGAGGACATGATCAATATTACTGAATTCTAGTTAAGCATAAAAATGCTACACCCAACCCAAAGTAGCACCTAACACCAAGTTGCCATGAAGCAGCATCCTCAGTCTATCAGACTGCATATTTATATACAGTTGCTATATACACAGCAGCTATACACTTCTCCCTCATCTCCTGTGAGTAGTTAACCATGGCAAGTCTAGTGAATAAGAAAACAGGGCCCCTAAACTCCTCCATCTACACATCAGAGCTCTTCCTGTGGGCATTCTGGACTGAAGCCTGAGACCAGTCATGCATCAGCCTGAAGGAGGAGGAAGATGATGATGATGAAGCAACAGCAAGAACAGCAAGGCACAGAGAGAAGAGGCCCATTTCCACATGGAGCAGGATATCTATCCCCTGTTGGAATAAGTTCCCATGCTGATTGTAGACCAGGCTGGCCTACAGAGATCCGCCTGCCTCTGTCTCCCGAGTGCTGGAATTAAAGGTGTGCACCATCACCACCTGGCTCTAACCCCAACTTCTAACCTGACCCTAACACCAACATCTACCCTCCAATTACAACCTCAAACCATAACCCTATCCCTAGCTATTACCTCTGAATCCTAGTCCCAGGTCCTACTTCTTAACTCTAAGTTCTAACCTAACTCCAGTATCTAACTCTAACCATAACCACTAACTCTAAAGTCTAAATCTAACTCAAATCACTGACTCTAACCTCTAACACATCTCATCTTCTTTAATCTAACCTTTAACACCAACCCCAGTCTGCAAACATATCTAACACAGTCCTAATTACAACCCCAATCCAACTCTAGTCCTAATCCTAACCTTAAACCTTAGCCCTCGCAACAACCCTGGACCCCAAACTCTAGACCTAACACTAAACCTTAACCATTACCTTAAATCCTAGTTTTAAGCCTAAAGCCTAGCTCTAACTCTAAATCCTAACCCTAATCTCAGCCTCTGGCTTCCCTGACCGGAAGCCCCCACAGCTGCTTACCTCCAAGTTCTCCAGAATCTCCACAGCACCAAAGACCTTGACCTCGGAGCTGGTATAGTGGTTGCTCAAAAGGATTTCTGCCTGGTTGGCATAGAGCCCTGGACTGAACGGAACCTCAGCTCCCACCTTTTCTAGAGTAGTACGGCTGCTGGGGATGGAGGCAGTGACCGCCAGTGACGTCTTCTTCATGTTCAAGTGCTTCAATTGCTTATCTGTCAGCCTGTGCATAGTAACCGAGCAGAGGTACTGGCCTGTGGAGAGAAGATGTGTTCCTCTCCTGTGTGCACAGACTCCCTGCTCTCTGATAGGGAAACTCCTAGGCACACTTGGGAGTCAGCTGGGAAATCACTTCCTCCAGGAGGCCTTCTAGGAATGCCCCTTCAGAGACGCTGGGCCAGCCTGGTCACCTGCTCAGTGAACAACAGTCCTCTCACTCTCTCAGAATCCTCTGTTCAAGAGATTTCCATCTGAATAGTACTCTTGGGGCAGGGATCGTTATGGGGCCAGCTCTGTAGCTCAAGCCCCAGCCAGCCTGGCTCAGAAGGAAGGCAAATAATGGAAAACAGACACATGCTCCAACCCTGGACTATGGGTCAAGAGAGAGCTGACTCCAAGTGTAGCAGGAGGCCTTGTGGATATTAGCTGTCTGGGTTCTGTCCTGTCCTTAGGACCTGGCCCAGGGAAGATAAGCCAGGTGAAAAAAGCAGGGCCTCAGGCACCTGAGCTGCACTCCATCAATGACAGCAACTATAGACTGCTGAAAGACTGTTAACCCCCGAGCTCAGTAAGGGCCTTCTCTGTGCTGAGTGAGACAGAGAGTGTGCTCTTGGGACACATTTGCACTCTCTCGGCCAACAGCAACCCCTGCCATGCAGTGGGGCCAGGCAGGCTCATGGCCAACAGTGCTGGTCGTCAGCCCAACCACTCTAGTGTCCTGAGCTGTGAAGCAGTTATGTTTCAGCTCGAATACAGCCATGACTCTCACCTCTCACCTGCTCTATGTAGGCAGTGGGGGCAGGGCAAGGCACTGTCATCCTCAGTCTAAAGAGGAAAGTCTGGACGGGCCAGTCTCTATCCAAAACTGAGTGGTGGGATTATGGAGAAAGATTCCAGCCTGGGTTTGATGCTGAGCTCTGCCAAAGGCTACTCCCTCTTGGAGCAGCAACAGAGTATGGTATCAGTCTTAGGCTATAACTATGTTGTGGTAACAGTCTTAGGCTGGACTCCCAGCAACCTCTGCCTGTCTGGACATATGGCATCATGAAGCACACTTATGACCAACCCTAGACATCCAGCAGACTCATTGCATTTTCAATTCTTTGCAAGTTTACCGAGGGTAGCATCAAATCCTGGCTCCACGGTGAAGACATCACGCGCAGGGAAATCAAAGACATCTTGTTTGAATTGGAGCTGACAACTGATGAGGGACTCTGGGTGGAAGGCTTCAATGACTTCTCGCTGGGCAGGGGAGCACTCACCTAAAGGCACAGAGTGGGGGGGGGGGGCAACGATCAGGTGAGAAGGGCTTGACCAAGCACATGGCCACCACACCCATAACAACTTAACATGAAACACAGGTTCTATGGAGGTTGAGCAGGCATGAATGGGACCAGTCCCATATTATTCCCATGCAGGGGGGAGCTCAGGAGTCCTCAAGCTTGGTGAATATAACATGCCTTTTATTAAAGCTAAGGATCCTGATCAACAGGCTGGGCTACTCTGAATGCCAGGGCCACTTCAGGGGGAAATTCCAGCATGGGTGCCAAGTCCGCACAGAGGGTGAGGTGACAGGCAACCTGTTGCTGTGTGACTTGCCGTTGCAGTCAGCAAGGAGAGTGGCCATTGGCCAATTGCTTCTGAACACTGAGAGGGCAGAGGCTCTCCATAAACACACACTGTACATAATTTTGGCAACAGCAGAGTATTTTCCCACTTGTACTAAAGGGGGAAAACTGCATTTCCACGAAGTCGTGAGTGTGCGCCATTAATCACAATGAGAATGGTAGAACTTAATTCATCTGTTAAGTGGTTTAAAAAACTCTGTATCGATGTATTTGTTTCTGGCACTTGCTGTCCAGGGCTGTCATAGGCAAGAGTGAGATGGAATGTTCTATGTATGACTTGGGAGAGGTAATTATAAAGTAAAACCAGCCACCAGTCTGCGATGCCATTAGTTTCCACCACCAGCGATGGGTGAACTGCGGCTTGCTCTGCCTCATGCCCTAGGGCTGCAATCACGGCTCTGACTCAGCGCAGGCAGTGCCTTGGAGCTGAGCTCTGAAGGAAGGCGTCTTTACCACTTCAGCTCATGGAGGCCTCGAATCTCTTAAAAGCTGTAAGGAGTGGATGAGCTAAATGGGCTCTCTCTGAGGTTAGGGGTGAGTCTGAGTAAGAAAAGTAGAGTTTGGGTTGTGGCTCAGTGTTCTAGCATCTGTCTGTGGTGTGTTAAGGCCCTGGGTTCAATTCCCATGAAACAATAAAAAACCCAAACAGATGAAACCATCCAAAGGGTACAGATTCTACTCCCCACTCTCCAAACCTGGCAAGGTAAGCCCAAACACCAGAGCCCACTCATTCTATACCAAGCAGGTTAGAGCTCTTGTCTCCCACGCTGACAGTCACTCTGGAGGCCGTGGCTTCCTGGATACTGGTCTGAGCAGAGTGGAGACGACGGGCCACAATCTTCTGAGGGGTGCTGACCACTATCTAGGGAAATGAGGCAGTTGTGCTGAGTGTTGAATGCATGCTGGCCTGTGCTGGGTATTTTTCATGACCTCAGCTGCGGCTCAGATCACCTCTGCTACTAATACCCCTTGGGCACATGCTATCCCCTCTGCAGACCTCCTTCCATAGGATATTCCTCTATCTCCCTCTGCAAGGCATGAAGGCCCACACCCCTCTGCAGCTAGAAAGCTGGCCACCTTTCTGGGTGGGGGCAAGTATACTAGGAACTCTTCTTACGGGCCTTTCTTACAGCATAGGAAAGGGATGGCAGCAGGGAGGGAGGCCTCCCTTAGGTTGCAGCCCACAGCTCCGCTGTATACAGGCCTTGGTCCCCTCTGACCTTAACAGCACTTCCAGCTGTCATTGTACTGTCTCCTCCCAGGAATCACTGCTGCCCAAGGGACCAGCACAGGTAGGTACCCACCACTGCCCTCCCTGGCCCTGTCTCCCACTTCTGGAAATCTCCTCTCTTCTCTCTTCCGCCTGGCCATGCTGGGTCCTGCTCACACTTTCTCCTACTCTGTCTGACCTACTCCTGTTACACTCACACCCATACTCAGGTATCTCCCAATGTAACATCCCTGGGCCAGACAACCACCCCAGCTGACCCACTCACCAGCTCAGACACCCATCTCAAACCTTCCAGGACCCACAGGACCCACTTACTATCTTCTTCCAGCACCTTCCCCTACTTCTGTTCCTTCTAGGAGTAAAGAACCATTACTACCAGGTTACTGGTGATAAATAAACCCAAGGGAGTTACTCCAAGCTCTCCTCCATCCAGTTCACCGTCTGAACATCCTGCAGCAACTCCACCACTGTATGTCCTTGATCTGTATCATTCTGATCTAAAGCCAAAGTTCTATGTAGTATGAAGTAAGCTACCACTCTACTCCCTGCACACTCCCAATACGAACAACAGCAACGAACATGGGTGGAGCAAACACTTGTGAGACACTAAGTGCCATTTGATTTGCCCCCTCCCCATGTTAGTTCATTATGCTAAATCACAGTGTGGTCTCCATCCCTTGGACACAGGGGGAACATGTCCAGTGGCTGATCTTGGATTTGAACATAGACAGACAGTGTTACTTGTGTGTCTAGGCTGTCCTAAAACTCCATAGGCTGCTCCAATTTCAGCCTGTCAAGGAAATGACATTGTAGGCATGTGCCCAGCTGAGACCACTCTTAAACTACTGCACCCAGCTTCCCAGCCTCTTGAGCATTTCCTGATCTGCCCATAAAGCCAAACCTTAAGTTCCTCCCACATGTACCCTATGATCCAGCTCACCCCAGGCTCTGTTCTCAAACCCTACATACCTTGGAGCCTGCTGGCCCCTCTCCTGACCATTCTTAGAGGCCGCTCTTGGGAAGCAGAGCTTTATTAACCAGAGTGCTTCTATCTGCAGCCACTGGCCTGAACCGCAGCAGCACTAAATATGAAAACTATTCGGTTAAACTGCCGGATTCGACAAAGCACACGCTGGCTCTAAAAATGAGACAGGTTTGGAACTCAGCCAGACTAGGCTCATTGATTCATTCTCGGCTGGAAAGAAAGGTTTTCTTTGCTTTCATAAAGACTCAAAGGTGACTTGCTGAGGGAAGTTTAACTTTGCTGGTGACACCAAATCACTGGAGTGCCCATCCCATGGCCTGACCTTCCTTCAGGGAAATGCCCACCCCTATGGCTGCATGGCCACACTGGGTGCCAGACAAGTGTGGGTGTTGGTGGGTGAGTAGGAGCAATCGACCAGATCTCTCTCCTCGTGCTGGTTTGGACATGAGAGGGATGTTTGGGATGAATGAGGACTGGTTCCCATCTCACACTTAGTGGGTGGTTGATTCTCCTAGATCTTGACAGCTGCAGACAGCTCTGGCAGGAAGCCTGGTTATTTGTTTCTTAAAGAAAAGGGAATCAGAGGTACAGCCAGCCTTTGTACCTGCTGCTTTGGCAGTTTAGATTTCAGTTGTATTCAACAAAAGTGCATTTGTACTGAGCAGGGACAGGCTTTTACTAAACAACAGGCTAACAATCACTCACATGACGTAGCATCAGTTAGTTATTTTAAAGTCATCAGAGGTGATTTCACGTATATGGGAAGTGGCAAACACCTGGAACACAGGCACTTGGAAGATTCAGTTCAAGGCCAGCCTGGGCTACACAGTAAGACCATATCTCAAAACAGACACACAAACAAAAGACCACAAAACAAAACAAAATAAAAATAGGAGGTGCATAGGTCTTATGTCTCTGCGTAAAGAGACCTGATCATGAGCAGATTCTGGTACCAAGGGGCACAATACTGTGATGTGGTGGGGGTACAATGATGGCCAGGATGGTCATCTTCCTGCCTCAGCCTCCCAAGTACTAGGACTGCAAACATGTGTCTCCACGCCTAATTACAGACACACACTGAGACTTTTAGTGCCTCCAGCAATGTTGGCCACAATTGCCTCTGCCTGCCCTCAAGTCCTACCTCCTTGAAGGTCTTCAGATGTCCAGCAATCTCATAGTAAACAGTCACAGACCCTGCATCTCGGGCCACAGCCACGCCAGTCTTGGGGTCAATGTAGAGGATGTTATTGGCTGTGGAGCTCCAGGTCCCTGAAATACCTGGGAGAATAAGCCCAGATATCATTTATCTTGCTCACATTTGGACACCATAGCCCAAACCCACCCCTCCTGGCCCCTCTGCTTGTGAGGGTCTCCATCTTCATAGAGGAATTCACATAGGCTACCTCTGAAGTGGTCCTCTCACCTTCTTAGTTCTGGTCTCCTGCAGCTCTCCCTTTGCACCTGTTCTCAGGGAGCACTGACTCCCATATCCTCTCATCTGGAATCTGTTTTTTTACATTAAGCTTTCCCAATTCCCTGTCCTGGGATGGGCTGGGTGCTATGTCTCTGGGTTCCTGTCACCCTCCAATATTACCAGTTCCTCTTTAGAAACAGAGAGTAGACCTCACTGCTGGTGTGTTGATAAAGAAAAATAAGGGCTCAGTGGTTAAGAGTGCTTACTGCTCTTGCAGAGGACCAAGTCTCAGTACCCAGAGCAGGCAAAACACTCAAATACATAAAATAAACCTAAATAATAATAATAATAATAATAATAATACCAGCCCAAACTATCTGAATATTCACAAAATTGATACCTGGACAAAATAAGTCAAATTTACTATGTAAATATTTGATTTAGTAATAGTTTGATAATAGTATGCTAACATATTTTAAATGCATCTTTAGAAAAGTAGATCCTCGGTACTGTGTCACACAGCACTTTGTACCCAAGAAACAGCAAAAATTCAACAACCTCATTCTATCTACAGCAGTCATTTTTTCCTTCCTTCCTCCCTCCTACCTTCTTCCTTCCTTCTTTTTGAGACAAGGTTTCACTGTAGGCTAAGCTAACCCACACTGAGATCACAAGTATGCACCACCACACTCAGCTACCATTTAATATCCTTTGGAAGTGAATTAATAAGACTAAAGAAAGGAAACCAGCCAGGAGAAAAGCAAGTGTCCATGCATGAGTTACACTGGTATGGGGACTCATTTTCTGCTCAGGTGTCCCAGAGCCATGCTGTTTGTATGTAGCACTAGCCACTCAGTAAGCATGACTTGTGGGGACAACTGAGTAACAGTATACATACAGGACATATCCACAACAGTGAAAAATTCTACTGGGCAATGCTATTCCAGGATAGGGGCTGGCAGACTTTGCTGAAAACCACCAGACAGTAAACACTGGAATACTATCTCCACTGCTATCTGGTCACAAATGAACAGGCATTGCCAAATGGCAGGTTGAATGTGTCCTTTAGGCAGCATCCTCTGAGCATCTTTTAGGTTCTACCTGCACACCTCCTATGATGTGGTACCAAGCAATTCCTGGGGTGCCACACCCTAGCATGAACCAGTCACATCCCTCTTACCTCCCAGGCTAATGAGAACACTAGCCAGACAGAGGATGTCACCCACCACCACAGCTCCAGACAGCTCTGGGGTGATGGCCTGTAGGACGGATAGTGGCACGAAGTCGGAGAGGCCCGGGTGTTCTACATCCCACACACGGAGCAGGGTCAAGCCCACACTGACTGTGCGGATGATGCAGGTGTTGTTGACGGCACCCTTGCCAATCTGCACAAAGTCATCTCTAGGAACAAGCGAAAGGAGGGCTGACACTCAGGTGAGAAGCCAGAGGGGAAGTATAGAGAAATAAGCAGCCCTGTCCCCTACTGAGCAACACTGGGCTGACTGAGGTCCTAGATGGGACTCTACCGAAGGGGGCACAGACTTAATGCATCCTTCCTTGTCATTCTTGGGACACACCTCACAACACCCAGTAAGAATCTGCCAGCATCATCACCCTCACACTTAGAATGGAAGCTGAGGCCCAAGGAAGAAAGTGACCTACGGAGGACATGTTAAGGAGGTACAGGCCGCCTTTCACTGTGTGGCTGGCTCAAACACTCCTGCACTGTCTGCCTCCTCCTGTGAAGCAGGATCAAGGATGTACATGGCATCTGCTATGGGAATTAAACAAGGCAGGCAGTGGAACAGCACTCCTAACACACCTGCTCAACCCTCATGGTGAAGGACGCCAAAGGTGAGATCGAGGTAGATAGGAGTGAGTGCCTCTGATGCTGACCCCAAGCAGGTGCTCCTGCCACACAAGGCCAGAGTAACTTCTGTGGTATGGCCAAGGGCAGCAAGACCTGGGTTCTACCTCCCCCAGGGCAGACAGACAGATGGTACTACATGCAGAGCCCCATAGTCATCCAGAGGCACTCATGACCACTCTTTCGTTGATGGGACGCGGTGGAAGAGCCTCACAGAGATGAGCTACATGGTCAGACTCAGGACACACAAAGATCAAAGCCAGGTTTGCAAACAGGTTTCCTGCTCAGGCTCCTGCCATGCATGCCCCTTATACTTCTCCTTCAGGATTCTTAGCTAAAAGCAACACAAGTGTTTTCAGGGCCATGGGAAGCCCAAGTTGGAATAGTAACCAACACCTGGACAGCTCAAAAAGTTCCACCCTCAGCCAAAGTGTCCCCCTCGAACCTCTGTAATGCCCCAGGGCAGTGACCATCAAACTTTAAAACCATGGAGTTCTGAGCCCTGTGGAAATACATCTCTAACAATCCCAGAGGACGCTGATGCCAGACTAGGGACTACACTCTGAGAGTCACTGCTAGCTAGTAGACTCAGACATTGGGCAGGCCACATTGAAGCCTGGGTCCTCTTGTCACCTTCTCCATCCTCACAGCAGGACTGGGGCTGCAGCAAGGATTAGAAAGAGCCAGCCTAAGAAAATCATGCTTGGAGCTGGGTAAATATGGTATTCAAACCTCACTTCCTAGCTATGTAGCTCATGGTAAATGGTTTGATTCACTGGGTGTCTATAACAGGGCTAGGAGAAGAACCAGAAAGATATGGCAGCTCGCCTGTGGGCAGATACTCAGTGACAATGGTTTCTTAATCATGTGCCCATGCAGCGTGGGACATGCACCTTGTTCTTCTCCATCCATTGAGGACAGGACCAGACTGACTGCAGCTGCTCACATTTCCTTGCACTTCCCTTCCACAAACACTCCCAGCTCAGCTCTCAGAAGGGGTGCTCTGCTTCCTGCCCATTAGGTACCATCCTCACCTAACAGTTCATCCTGGGCCTTTCTTTCCCCTCACTCCCTCTGCCTCTTGATTGGACCTGCTGCTTCCAGGCCTGGCCTGTGTGGGGCAGTATGCCAACCCTTCAACCATCGTCCCATGGCAAATGCCTTTTTTCACCACCTATCTGGACTTAATCTGAAATTCAGACACGACCAAGACCAGCCTCCTTGTGAGAAATGGGGAAATGCCCTACCTGTTAGTGGCAAAATTGAGGACTGAATTGTGAGCGTGGAAGATGTCTCCAGAGTTGTCATGGAAGTGGACAGTGAAGGTCACGGTCATCCCCAAAGGCAGAGCCGCCAGTGCCTCCTTATGCTGAGTATGCAGGACTGGGCTCATGGAGATCCTCAGGTATGAAACAGGAGACACCTGGAGGACATCAGGCAGGTATAGTGATACCTGCCTGAGTGGTCCCTGTCTCAGAGACACTTAAGAGGTGGGTTAATTTCAGGGTGTGGAAAAGAAAGACCTTTCTTCTTAGAGCCCCCACCTAGTGACACAGTTTTCATTACACAACTTCTAAAAGACCCAGATGAGCCAGGATCCATGACTGAAAACTTAGGTCATGGGTCATATGGCAAGAACACCCACCCTCTGGGCGGTGACTGTAAATGGTCAGAATCATGGGAGGAGCTGACTCTCAGGGCATTTGAGGTAGAAACAATGACCACTGGATGGAGAGGGGGGTGTCACTTGCCTATAGGGGTGCTGATGAAGGCCAACAGTGGGTCTCTAGAGCCATCTCTGAACCACGTTCCCATAAAAAGTAGGTAAACATTTATCCTAACTCCAGACAAGAATCCCTTACCTGGCCAAAGTCCAAAGCCCACTAGGCAGGTTAACTGTTGTAGGGTCAGGATATGAAGAACAACCTAGTACTTTCTGTCACTTAAAAAGTAGGTA